GTACAGGGCACAACTGTGACCTTTGACATTGGCTTTTACTTAGCTAGGATGTGACTTTTGACCCAGAGAACATGTCCTTTGATCTGCTTTCACGAGTTGGGCCCTGGCGAGTGACCCCTCTATGCTGCTTTTGTCGAACAGGGTCTGAATCGGGTAAAGGCCCTTTTATTAGGTGCAGTTCTGACTCCCCATGGAGAGGGTGGGTCGTTATATCCTCAACACATGGAGGAAACTGCCCCCTGACCAGTGGGAGGAGGTGTCCAGACAGCCACTGTTGGGAACAGATGGATCACAGACAGCCATGGCCAGGTTAGGTGCAGTTCTGACTCCCCATGGAGAGGGTGGGTCAAGCACAGGGCACTACGGGTGGGGGACCTGCGGGACGCAGAGGCTGGGGAGTGGAAAAGCACAGATAGGATGAGGCAATGGCTGCGGAACTGCCGTCGTACGGAAGTGGTTTTGGGGGAATTGATTGAAAGTTTCCCGCTGACATGGTACTCTATTCTAAAAAGGGGCCCGGTGTACAAGGAAGGAGACTGAGTCGGACTCCCTAGGGACCCGGGTTCAGTTGGGATGATGGACATGGTGGGTGGTAACGAGGTACTGATCGAGAGATATACTTTGGGGAGGGAGGACATCCTGATAGGGAGTAGGAAGCCTTTCATCTGGGTCTGCAAAACTGAGGTATTCCGTATCAGGGTCATGCAGATCGGGTGGGAGCAGAGGGCCTTTCAACCGATGACGTCAATAGCGGGCCTGTCCCTCGACCCCAGGGAATAACAGTGGAACCCGGGGGGAAGAGGGGGAAGGAGGGCAAGGACTGTACAATGGCCCTTGAGCGTTGCTGACATGAAGGTCAAAATGACTTTTTTTTTTTTGAGAAAAACAGCCAGAGGAAGTGGTAGTGGTGCTGGTAAAAGCAGACACCACTACTACTTCTCATGGCGGCTCCGTCTATTGGTGGGGAGCGGCACCTGCTGGAAACCGGGTCCCGCGTCCCTGCACATCGTAACATTTCACATGCTTATGCAAACCTCAATGCTTACCGTATGCTGAAACCCAAAAGAGAGCTGCGGGACACGATCTGCGACAGGTGGCAACGCCATCTCAACGTAGATCGGGGTATCCTGTGTCCGATCCAACGGTTTCGCGAATCCAAATTGCGGCCGGCCAAGGTCTCATTGCTGCAGTGGCAGGCAGCCCACCGATGCATCCTGGAAATGGACGGGGCACGGATGGAGGAGGGGGAGGTAACAGAGTTGGTTAGGCAACTGGTACAAGCAGAGATTACTAAACAGTGGCGGACAGCCAGACAACGAATGAGGTATGTGCATACCAAGAGGGACTTCGCTAAAATTATCAGATGTTTCTGCGAAGAATGGCTGGGGGGAAGAAGAGGGGGATGGATGGCAGACGAGAGGTGCCCAGACAATACAAGCTGTCCTTTCGGGACTGGAGTGCAATAGATCCTGGCATCCCCCTGAGACTGGCGACAGACTTCCCGGATCCTTTCCCCCCCCACCCGCTATCACTTGCGGAAGTGCCTCCCAGCGGTTAAAAATCTTGTCCCGGCACAGTGTTTTCCCGTTTGTTACCTACCGTCTTAAACGGACGCTGAGCCCTGTTCTCAGCACGCGAGGCCTGTGTTTTTCCAAATATGACCGCGTTTCCAACGGTTTATCTTTCCTTCAACAGCAGTATTTTCTCAGGATGGACGCTGAGCCCATTTCTCAGCAGACGATGCATGAGGACAGCAGAGACAAGGAATGGGCCGGGAAGGGGGACAAAAGGAGAACCCACTGGTGCCCCCCGGTGGCACTTTCTGTTGCCCGGCCAGGCCACGGGTTAGGAAGGGATGAAAGGGCTGATATGGGACGCTGGACCCAGTTTCCAGCACAGTGGTCACTTATGTATTTCAAAGGGACGCTGAGCCTGGTTCTCAGCACGTGAAGCTCCCCACGAATAGATGGAGTCTGTGTCAAAAAAAAAAAGAAAAAAAAAAAGAGAGACTTGTAGTTACCGGGCTCACTACCCGGCTTTCACTTAGATAAGGGGCAGCTTGCATTGAGCTACCTGCTTCGCTAGGAAAGTAGCGGAAGACATGCACTTAACCTAAGCATGAAGCCCTGCAGAACTTCTTTCACAGACTGCCTAGTAAGCTGTACTGCGACTGCTAAAGATGTGGCCGTCATGGCCACCTGAGGACACATGATGCAAACCATGTCCGGTATCCCATATACTGCGTTACGAGAAGCAGTTAATGGAAGGCCCAAAATCCGGCGAATTTTGGCGAATGTTTCACTGAAACTGCCATATTTCCCTGAATTTTTACTGTTTTCTCGGTTTTTCTTTTTGCCTGTTATATATGTGCTTTAGGGTAATTTGTATTCAGTTTCGCCGTATTTGGAGCAGTAACAAGGTTTTTTTATGTTTGTATTATAACCCTGCATAGTTTGTTCACAAAAGTTTCGACAAAATTGCTTGTAGCGACGCGGCGAAAAACCCCGAATTTTTAGCCTTCCTTTAACCACTAGTGAGTTTGTATCTCATTACTGGGGCAAAAACCTGGCCTCAGCTTATGCATATCATCAGCAGTAAGCTCCCTGGAACTTCTGATATCTTCACAGATCATCAGAATCTGTATAAGCAGTTAAAAAAAAAAAAAAAAAAAAAAGTTTCCGAAAGTTGGTAGTCTGCTATCAGCTCTGCCCAGTACCAGCTCTGTCCATGTAACATCTTCGACGCACACGGGTCCTACCGGACCCGACTTAGGGCCGGAAGGACACATCAGGGCCTAAAGGCCCGACCTTGGGGTATTACAGGCCCTAAAGGTCTGATCTTGGACCAGTACCCGACGGGCAGGCCCAAACGGCATTATTGTTTGGACCTGGCGGCGCTCTTGAGGCTGCCGCCCGCCGGTTGGGGCTGAACCGTCCATCTGGACGGTTCAGGGCATGGCCAGGCCTCGCAGCATTGAGGCCGGCCTCTGCCCCACCGGTATAAGTACCGGTACAGCCTCACTTGGAGGGATC